GCAGGTAAAGGGTCAGATATAAAAAAAATATATACCAAATGATAGGTAAAGACATCATGCATCTATAAAAAAATTTATATTGATCCATACATCTTTCAAAAAGTTATAGCATTATAAAGTTAAAAAAACGGTAGCACAGTGGGGTCGAGGCACAGTGTGGACGAGGCATAGATGGGACAAGTTCATAAGAAACGCTTCGATGCAAATCTGTAGATAATGTTTCATTTAGAGAAATTGGTGGATTATTCCAAAAGCAACATCAACTCTTATTTCTTTAATTATATTTAAGGAAGAAGAGCTAGAGGAATATCAAAAAAGAGATTGAGGGATGTTATTGAATTCGATTTGAGGATAGCTGATGTGAGCATAGTAGATTTGGGAGATCATGTCAAGTGGAAGTTTAGAATAAGGGTGGCCGACCCCAAGTAGTTGGGATTAAGGCAAAGAAAAAGAAATAGATTACCAGATGGCAATTGACATAATATGATTTTTGTTTGGGAATGTACAATTTAGCGTTTAGTTGGGTTTAAACAATATAGCGTCAAATCAATTACCTACTCTATCGGTTGTAGATTAATATACACTACACTTTAATGATACAATAAATAAATAAACTCACACATACACACATATGCATTTATAACATTTTGTCTAATGTAAGTATAACATGATAAAAAGTAACCGTAAAATGAAAAAAATGGAATATAAATTTTAGTACTCATATTAAATGTAACTCCAAAAATATTTGTTTAAATGAAAAAATATGTGATAATTTTTTTGTTTATAATTGTCTTTTAAATAACTTTTGTACAAAACTTTTTTTTGTAAAAAATTTTTTGAGAAAATTAAAAAAGCTTATATTTTTTAACTTTTGCGAGGCTGTAAAAAAAACCTCAATTCCAATCAATGAGGTCTATTAGTATGTCATTATACATATTTTAATTCAACTTTTAAAAATCTTTATCAAAAATTTTTCANGACTTTTAAACAACTTTTGTACGACACTTTTTTTTGTAAGTTAAATATTTTTTTTTGAGAAAATTAAGAAAGCTCATATTTTTGAACTTTTGCGAGGATTTAAAAAAAAAGCTCAATTCCAATCTTGAGAACTATTAATATGTCATTATACATATTTTAATTCAACTTTTAAAAAAACAAAATTTGTTTGGAAATTTTTTCCGCAATTTTTCCTTTGTTGACTGGCCTAGATGTCAATTTTAAACTTGTAATTGAGCTAAAAGTTATGGTAATATATTCAATTNGCAAAAAGTTATAGTAATATAATCAATTTTTTTTACTATAAACTTTCATAAATCTTTATCAAAAAGATAAAGATTTGTAGTCCACTGTATAAAACTTATAACTTTGTTAACTGTTATAACTTTATCAAAAATGACCAAATCAGTATATTTTTTTTATAGTAACAAACAGTTTTTATTGAAAATTATTGTATCAAGCCCTTTAAATTTTTATACACGTAAAAGTAAAGCAAAATATAACTTCTTTATTATTTTTATAATTTCTCCGTTTAAATTACAATATTAAATATCAATTTCATACTAAATTTAATAATTATAATTAGTATATATTCAAATATTATATTTTAAAATCAAAGAACTACTAATCATGATATAATTAAAGAAATAAGAGTTGATGTTGCTTTTGGAATAATCCACCAATTGCCTAATTAAAACAAAAAAAAAAAAAGTTTGTTGGGAATTTTTTCTGCTATTCTGCAAAATTACTCCTTCGTTGACTAGAATGAATCATTAAATAGAAAATTTTATGAGAATTAAAACAATGTTATTTTTAAGATTAATATGCAGTCAGAAAGTTTTATAATTATTATTTATTGTAAATTTATCAGAAAAACTCATTATTTTTTGCATTTTTATCGTAATAGAACACTTAAATAGAAATCATAGTAATCATTTCTAAGTAATTTTTGATATTTAAAAAGATTCTACTATTGAAATATCCAGAACTGAATTAATTTTAATGATTTACTTTAACTAAAAAAAAAAAAGTTAATATTTTGAATCCCTCTTGTGGGCAGGTAAAGGGTTAGATTTATAAAAAAAACCAAATGATAGATAAAGACATGCATCTAAATAAAAAAAAATATACTGATTTGGTCATTTTTGATAAAGTTATAACAATTAACAAAGTTATAAGTTTTATACACTGGACTACAAGGAACTTCCATCAGAAACAAAAATATACTATTCTAAATCAACTTTTCGCGATGTTTTAAAATGTGCAATTAGACTTTTTCTATAACTTCTAAGTTTTAATATTATTAAAAAATAGTTTTTACATATAAAAAAAAATAATTAAGAACAAAAAAAATTGTTTTAAATTAATACTGATTTGATATAATATTTAATATTAATTTGATTATTAATAAGTTAAAAATAAGGAAAATGACATATTTAACCTATTTTGTTAATCGTTTAAAGTTGATTGTTGTAAATGTTTATAATAAAAAAAAAAATTTATTTTACCATAACTTTTAGCTCAATTGGTAAGTTTAACATTGACATCATAAAATAGAAAATTTTATAACAATTAAAAAAATTGTATCGTTAAGATCAATATGCAGTCAGAAAGTTTTATAATTACTATTTATTGTAAATTTATCAGAAAAGCTCAATATTTTTTTGCATTTTTATGGTAATAGATAACTTAAATAGAAGTAATAGTAATAATTTCCTAGGAACTTTTGTTGTTTGTTGAAAAGATTCTATAATTGAAATATTGAGAACTTAATTAATTTTAATNGTTGTTGTTTGAAAAGATTCTACAATTGAAATATTGAGAACTTAATTAACTTTAATGATTTACTTCAACTAAATGAACCAATCAGAACAAAGTTGTTAAAAAGATTACAATATGTTACCAAAAAATTTTGA